TTGTGGAATGTGTTTGCTTAAGTCCAGAAATTGAATTAAAAGGAACTGCTATGACAATGGCCAAGCTTGAATGGGATTAAGTATCGCTTCTTACACTGCGTTCAGGTATCCCATTTAAACTGAAGCATATTCTAATGATTCTGAATTTTCAATCCAGATGTCAGAATGCACTTAGAGAAAAGAAAATGAAACTACAGTTCATAACTGGGTCAAATGACTAGCGTGTCTGGATAACGAGAAGCACATCAGACCATGCAGTACCTAGGTCTGTTCTCTCAGACATGGAGTTCCTTCTATGGTCTAAAAAGAATGCTATATTTGAAGGAACTAGCTAGCTAGACAGGTATTATTCAGTCCAATCAAACAAGCCAAGCAAATGTGTTGAGGGAGATCGTTCTTACAGGATGGCAATTTCATTCACAAATTTAGAAAATGATACAGGACATGTATGATGTGCTAATAATGAAGAACTGCACATGTGAGCTCACTAAATTACAACAAATTTAATTTTGCTTAATGGGACACCCTTGCTTGTGCAACTGTTATTCTTGGAGAGATACAGGCCGCAGTTCAGCGATTTTCTTATCTGTATTTGACATCATGAAATTGTTAAAGCTTCAAAGCCACAGGCTAAGTCTGTCTTGTTAAATAAGAGAGCACCATGGAATAGGCTTAAGTAGCCCTTATTAACCACACTGCTTAATTTTTAGCTCCTTCCCTGACTCTGCTTTGGATCACCCCACCCAGCTCTCTAAGAGCAAGCTTAATCTCCTATAGAGGGAGCTAGGTCTAAACAATGTGGATTCGAGCCAGGCTCTGTTGTCTAGCTTAATCTCTGGCCTTCTTTTATTTAGCAATTTAACAGTTTAGAGATGGCCAGCATGCCCCAAGAATGAAATTTCGGGAGAGGTAGTGTTTAAGCTACTGGGGAGTCAGCTCTGACCTGCACACCTCTGATAGCTGCTTTGAAAGGTGCCATTTCTGTGATAAACAACAAAGAAACAGCTTGTGCCTTGGAATTACGCCAAAGTACCCAAGGAAAACGTCAGAGCTGCAGCCTATTCCCACCGCAGGGAGGGCAAGCGCGTGCTCCCCTGATCACAGCAGCCTGGAAGGTGTTTAGCAGAGGCACCCCCCTGCCACATTAGTAGCTCTTTGGAAAGGGATTGCTACGCTGATACCAGAATTCACATTAGGGGTTCAGCCTGAGAAATACAAGTTGCTCCTCTACAGTTGGTGTCAGTGACAGCACAAAAGGGGTGGTGCCCCAGTGAGTGTGGGTGCTCCAGCACGGTCACACAGGTATCAGCACTCTCCATCCTGCTGTGAATGAGGCAGGGAGCCAAAATTGCTGTCAGTGTGGATTTGTCCACAAGGCTCAGTTAAATTTATCTAGTCAACTCTGACATATTCTGACTTCTTGATGCTCGACTTCGCTGCCTTCCTAACCTTATTCTGAAGAGGGTTTTATGTGTAACTGATGCAGATTTGCATGTGTGTTGAAGAGTTTATTATAACCCATCATTTTATTGAAGTATTGAGCAACTCTGACCTTAATACCTAAATAATATCTACTTTTGGTGTAATGTGAGAATCTCAACTTGCACTACAAATATGATTTTTAGCCCTCACAGTTAGAGCAGGGTGAAATGACAACAACAGTCCTAAAAACTCAGAAGAACATCACTTAAAATTATCCCAATTTTTTAATGCTACTACCATTATTTTTTTTATATTTGCAGCTGGTAGTATTTCAGTAACTACTCTGCTGCACTCATTGTAACCTAATCTGTTCCTGCAAAGCAGAGCTTCATCTTACAAAGGGAGAGTGACCTTCAGTCAGTAGCTTCAGTAGCCTTATCTTGTAGTCCATAGCCATACCCTGCACATATCCCACAGATGCAATAATAATATCCTGTACTCCTATGTGAGGAGGAAAGATGTTCTACACTTGATCTACACACTCTGCCCCTAATACAACAATTCATATAGCATTCATTTACTTTTTTTTTTAATGTTTGGACAAATTTAAGCAAATTTTAGATAGTAAATCTATCAGTGACTAGAATATGCTTAAAGTTGCTTTTAAAAAGTATATGCAAACAGCCACAGGGTTTTTTTTTTTTTTTCACATCAGATAATACAACAGTGGCACTTAAAACTTAAGTTATTCCTCCTTTGGAAAAAATGCAACAAATCATTACTGGTTTGCTTTTGATGAGATTGATATTCCTTCAAATCTTTAACTCTTTCTGCACTTCCTCTGCAGCATTTGTTCTGTGCAACTTTAAGCTGTCTAAGAGTAAAACACCTACTTCATGCCCTGTACATGATCCACATGATCCAAAGTATATCATCCAATGGACAATCTACCCATCTTTTGGTTTGTGCATCCCTCACTTTGGCTGAAAATATATAAGAAACTGTATCTCTGAATGATTAAGAATTTTGCAGGTGCTTCATGAATAGAATGAGAAGAACTGTCAGTCATTATGACTCATGGAATAATAATACTTCTAACAATATATTACATGGAGGTTAGCTGCAGATCTTTCAGTAGCAGTGCTAGTGAACTACTAAACACCAATGTTACAGAAAGTTTTTTTTTTAAAACATCTAGAACCAATCATTAAAGCATCATTCCTTATTAGACAAGCTACTAGACAAGAACAACTATTCTTCTGTTCAGATACATTCCTGGAAGGAAAGAAATCAATTCAATTGAAAATAGCTTCCAGGGTAGTATGTTTGTTCAGTGTAATGGAGGTGGAAGAATGCATTATATATGAACTTTAAAGAAATATGGAATTAAAAATACATAAAAAGGTGAATCAAAAAGATAGTTAAAGATTCAAGGCATAGTTTCTGTCTATATAGTCACATTTTAAAAGGCACCTGCTTCTCTCCTTAAATCTAAATGGATCCATCTCATTCATTGAGATATGAGGTTGCAAGAGATTTCATTATTACACCTTAGAACAGTTGTATTTTTCACTATAAATACAAATAGTAGTGCATCAAATTAAAATCAAATAGATTTATTTACAATTTTCAAACATATTTACAAATTACAAATATTTACAAATTACAAACATATGGATTTATCACTGTAGTGAGTTATCCAAATGAGACTTTTACACAAAAGCAACCATAAATTTTTATTACAAAAAATTGTGAAATTGTAAAGCTCTTTCAATTGTGATTTGTAAGAAATTGTAAGTGTAGAATTTATCTTAATAACTTCCTCAGGAAATAGATTAATATTTTTTGTTAAAAATCAACTACTTTCTTGTAAATCTATTTTTTATTTAAAATAGACTATCCTAAATCATATCTTGGCTAAGGCTATTCCTATTCTGCCACGCTATTTTTTTCTAGAATGGTGCCAACATTCATGTTTGTCTATAATTAATTACTCAGAATGGAATTGTAAATGTGATATGCATATGAATTCATATCAAGGCTAAAAGATGTTTCAAAATTATTATCATAAGAATGGAAATTTTAAGAACACCCTGATGGCTTAAGTACTGGATAGAGTATTTTCCCTCACATTTAATGAATCCCTCTTGATAAAGCAATTTAAATATGATTTACTTTTTCTGACAAACAGAATCTATATGCAAGTCATATTTATCTTCTAAATAAGGATGGCAAATTACCTACAATGTGAATAACAAAGCTCCAGGTTTGTATTATTCATTAACAATACACAAGGAAGACATTTGCTGTGTATTTTGTTATTATTAGTGAGGAAAAGTGTGTGATACTTCATTTGTCTTCTTATACATATACAAGCAGTGCTTGTATAGTGCCTAGCACAATTAGTCCCTGGTTTCTCACTGAAAACTCTGAGAATGAAACGATAACAACAATCACTGCCATCATCATCTGGGACATGAAGGGAAACAGTTCCAAAAAAAAGCCATCTAAAAGGATCATCTCATAACACAGCGGGCTGAGCTCTCAGAACACTTCAAAAGGAAAGACTCTTTTTCCATTAGCCCCTTGCAACCACAAACTTTACATCTACAGATTTGTTTGAAATAGAAAAATACCTGACTTCACGACAAAAAAAAAGTATTTCAAGTCATCCAGAGTTGGTGTGGCAAATACGTATGTATGTCACACACTTATAGAAAAGTTCTTCCTCAGTCCTTTCAAAGTAAAACTTTTCAATAAAAGCAGTGGTTACGTTTCACACTAGGAGAGACTTGCAGCCATTGTATGACCACATCAGTGCTGCGCAAAGCCTGAACTTACAAGCCATTCTGAAATGTGGGAAATACTAGCTCACAGTAATGACCACATCACTACAATCTCGTCATTTCTGCATTAGAGTTTCCTTGCCCTTCTTAAGTCAGATTATGGGTAGAGTAAGTACGTGTCTGCTGGCAGACACTAGGACATTAGGATACAGAGAGACCAGGAAGCTCTCCTGAAGCAATCAGACATAACGAAAGGGCATGGGGTGCTCTGGGAGAGTGAGGGTGAAGAAAATGTGAAATGGTGGGATGTTAAGAGGCACAAGTCACATTTAGGCATGGGATCAAAATCCCAAGCCGGCATACCCTTCCACAACTCAATGTCTGGAAAGCTTCGAACGCAGTTCGAACAACAGTGTTAAGTGGATCCTGGACATTCATTCACAGAAATGTACACAGCAAACCAGCTGGCTAAAACCGAGCCTTTGACTTCAGAATATAAGAAAGCACAAGGCGAAAGTGCTTGTTTTGGTTTCCTTTCAATTTCAGCGCATATCTGGTTTTTGCTGATGGTATATTGATCTTAACAAGTTGTACCAGGTAGATAGCTTTATGATGTTTATTCTCAGCTGCTTTTTGTCATTTCATATGCTACTTATAGCACCAAAGTGTTTAAATTTTTCACATTAAAAACAGAACAGTCTCCCTAACTTGAACGTATCTACTCTTGCTAGAGAAGACTATCACATAGAAAAGAGAAGAATGAAAAAAAAAACAAAACAACCCATGCTTTACCTGCCCATACTTTGCAGCTAAATGAAGAGGTGTCCAGTACTGATTATCCACTGCATTGAGATCAGCCCCATGATCCAGGATCAGAGACGCCACATTCCTGTATCCATTTGCACAGGCCATGTGAAGCTGCAATATGAAAATAGCTTAATAGTTTACATAAGTCATAAAAACCTGTAAGGGATTATTGCACACGTTGGCTGTCCCACAGACCTAACTGTATAAATCTCAGTAATGAGAAATGCAAAATCTATACATGAAAATGACATTCTAGGAAACCCGTGCAGAAACTTTTTTAGCATTTATAAGCAAAATCTGCCAAAAATAAGAATGCCAGCTTATTGATATCTCTTTTTCCATTAAGCAATCCAGTCCCACTAGCTACTTTTCACATCATTTCAAGAATATCCTTTTAAATATCTTCACAAATTTCATGAGCTCAAGTATTTATAATGCTTCAGTAGAACTTGGCCTAGACCTGACTTTCTTTTGTGACAGTTCAAATACTTCAGATGCAAAGTGACACAGTTTTACTCTAAATTGAATTCACTAACACATAATCTGACTAAGCACGTTAGGTCTGCAGAGCAAAATCAGTCACAGAAAATACCTTCCCAGTTCAGAGTGATTTTATTTCTATTTACCCTACTTCACTACATATTGCTTAATTATTTTGGGTGGTATTGCTTTAATAATATGAGTTTGCTCTCTAGATTAGTAAACTTCATTTCAGAATTAAAGCAGAGCAGAGAGAGAGGAAAGTGCATTAACAGAATAATAGAAACTTAGTTCAGAAGGAACCTTGGAGGCTAGTCCAGCCTCCTGCTAAAGCAGGGACAATTTAAAGTTAGCTCTGTTTGCCTGTGGCTTGTCATCTTCAGTAGCAAGGACAGTACGAGAGATCAGGTAGTGAGGACTACAGCGGCAAGAAGGGGAAAGAGGAAGCTCAGAAATATTTTCTAGTATTAACAGTTTTTTATTTAATACTTTGTTAATGGCTGATTTAAGAAACTGGACATTAACCTGTGCAGTATGTTGAAAAACAAGGCTCTACATGTGCTTGGCATTCATATCAGCAATTAATTCTACTATAGATGGTATCTACAGAATAGGACTGAAATAATGTAAATATAATAGTAATATATATAAAATAAATATTAATTAAAAATCAAATATGTAATATAAATATAAAACAAATATAAACATAAAACCAAACAGGATTGTGAAGAGTAACAAATAAACCAATCATATAGAAAGATATGCATTACAGGGCAATACAAATTCTTTATTTACTCTAGTAAATCAAGTAAAAGAGGAAAATGAAATAAAAAATCATATATCAGGAAAAATTTGTCACTGAGGATTCCTAGTAGAAACTCTTTCATATTTATTGTGAATTAGAGTGAATCACATACTTCATATGTCCTGAATCATTCAGCTTACTGCTTGGGAGTATTTATTTTCTCATGGCTCTCTGCTATGATTCCGAATATTCTCTCTGCTTCTGGGAGCAACAGGGACAAAATTTGCATTTGGAAATCAGCACAATGTAATTGCTCTTCCACAGTTACGAGGAACCAGCTCTCACAAGGTCAGTAACAACAGGCCTCAGTAAGTTTACAGGAATGGAGGACTGAGGTTACAGGGCAAGAAACTGCAGTGTATGCCCTCTGACTCAGGTAGGAGATATTCAAATTCAACAGGTAACTATATGGGTTTTTTGTGTGTCCTTTTTTTTTTTTCGTCCTTGAAGCAACACTACCGGAAGAAATAGGGCAACAGGTTTTTTTTTTTTTTTTTTTTTAGGCCTGGAATGGATGGTTAATGGCAAAAAAAAGGTCTTGCAATAAACCTGTTCCTAGATTCGAGTATTCTCAGAGTAACTATAAGAAAAGGAGACTCCAAAAAATGAGTCCTAGGTATTATTTGCCAGCTATTTCTGGTTCAGC